CAGGCTAGATGATCTGTTCAGGTCCCTCCTGACTCTAGCTACTATGAAACTATGAAACATCCCATTTTCCATCTCTCTCATGTATATCTCTCATGATAAATACCAACTGCTCACTATGAGAGACATCAGGTGTCCCATCTAGGATGATTCCATAGTAGCGAGCATTTCTCACCTCCTCAAGATCATATTTAGCACTGTCTTGGCACACACCTCCAAATACTCATTCTGACTACGTCAGGACATGTAGTGTGTTTGCATTGTCTCCCCAGCCTCTCTTCCTTTCACCCAAGGAACCTTGTCTACCCTTTACAACAGCATTATCAATGGCTCCTTTTCTGCTAAGAGCATTTGCAAGATCTTTACACTCTAAATAATGTTAAAGATGACCAGAATTTGTGACTTGTGACTCTTCACTTTGTCATGCAGTTTTCTCCGGTTATCATTCGCACCCCCAAGGCAGAATCTAGAATGGTAAAGGGCTTGATTTTTGTTCTGATCTTGGAAGAGACAGCATGGAAAGCAGAACAGGCCAGCTGCCTCGTGGCTCCAAATGAGCCAGTCCCCTTTCACACTCTCGTCATTGGACAGCCTTGCATAAAATAGATGTAGGGAATGACCGTTTGGGGGAATCACGTGGGAAGCTTGCAGGTTTGGGTGGTGGGCCCTTGGACACAATTAGATCCCTTTGCAACCTATCGAGATGCCCCCAGGTGGCTGGGTCATTAGAGAACATTTCCTGGTGAAGCTCAGGCGCAGATCTGGAAACCAGATCAATTTTCTCGTTTTTCTCATTTGATGCTATGTCTCCTTCAGCTTGCACCACCAAACCTGACCCGTTTTCACAGTCTCCTACTACATCACTGCTCACATCCTTTGTAATATTTTCATGATGTGCCACCTGCATCACCTGTTTCACTTCCAACTTCCTTATTTCCTTTCACCACCCAGCCAAACTGATCCAGTGCCTGCCTCCCCTTTTCATCCCAAGCTTTTTTTCTCCTTTGTCTCCTTTCTTTTGGATGCCCCAGTTTATTAGGTGCACTTCATTTTTTCTTACACGGGGGTAAGGGGATAGGAATCGGGTTGTACTTCTCCTGAGCACCCCCAATTTCCAAACTCCTTCTGGCAGAGCTTCTCTCTCCTACCACTTTCCTGGGGCCTGGCTCAGTCTCCCAGGTCTCCTGGCTGTGGCCTGGGGGCTGGCCTCCTCCGCTACCCAGGAAGGAAGGGTTCCTCCCTTAAGGCCTGGCCTCACCCCACTCCTAGGCCTTTTCCCTGTGGTACCTGCCACAGAAAATGACTCTCCGGTGGGACCTTGCCTGGAAATTTTAGCTGGTGCTCATATAACCCCTATAAGCTGGGCTGTACTTGGTTCAGGCTGGTGGGTCTGGCAGAGGATAAGCGGACCCTGCCCCTGTTTAGAGAGAAAAGAAAGTAACTGCAGAGAGAGTAGACAGAGGAAGGAGGACTGTCTTTGTACTGTTGGTGGAGAATAAACTTGTATATTTAGCCTTTAACCCCCTGATCAAGGGCATTGTGAGACTGTTCATATTCTTAAGTAAGCAACCGCTGCTGTTTGAAGGGCCAGAAGAGAGCAAGTCATCTCGGCAATACTGAAAGCAAGATTTGCAGTTTGGCGCACAGGCTTCATCAGTCAGGAAAGACTTTAATATCCCCCCCGAAGACTTAGATTCAGAGATGCTCGGGTCGGGAGGGACCTCAACAGATCATCGAGTCCAACCCCCTGCCTAGGGGGTCAGACTTACATAGCCACTTTGCATTAAGTACTTTTTGAAGTGGGGAAATATGTGAAGCTGAACATGTGTTATGTCTAGCGTTGTTATTTTCCTTGGCAAATGTAAAGAAAACAACATATATCGTTTTAAATTATTATTTTCTTGCAAATTCATTTCTGACTTTGGCCTTTAAGAACCCACAGCACTGACCTTCCCTCACGACTTGAACCCGGTGCCCGGGAGGTCTTTCTGCGAGAACAGGCCGGCTCTGCCACCGACCCCTCGGCAAACCTTCCCTGTCCTCCTCTCCTCACAACGCGCTCAGTAACCAGGCCCTCGGCTCGGCCAATCCTGAGCCTGCTCGCTCCTGTCTCTGTCGGTGCCCAGAGAGAAAGAGGGATTGGCCCAGACTCCCCCTCAGACATCAGCGCAGCACCCCTCCAGCCTCACATTAGCATCTGTTTCACGCACAGCGATGTATAATATTTACTTTGTGGTCGGGGACGGGTCCCATAACGTCACAATGACACGTTGAGAAGGATTCAGTGTCACCTTACACTCAAAAACACCTATTTCCTCTTTTTTTAAGAAAAAATACCAAGAATTGTGGTGAGTGGTGTTGCAGGGCAGGGCACAACGGTGCACACAGGAGCTTGAGGCAGGGAAGGGCCCAGGGCAAATTGCCCCAGTTGCCTCCCCGGGCAGCCCTGAGGGCAAGAGACATTGTGTTGCCTGTGGACCTACTACCCAGGCTATATGGGAGCAAATCTTGCACAAGACCCTGGAGAAGGAGCACAGAGACTTGAACTGGCACTCCCTGTGCGGGCACGGAAAAGCAGTGAGGGGCAGAGAGGCCCATCAAACCGCCCCAGGCAAACCTGCTGGTGGAAGGTGGAAATAATCGACCTCCTCTGGCACTGTCCGGATGCCAGGGAGGTGTGACGGACCGGGGCCATCACCCTGACCAGAGAGGCCGTTCACCGTGTCACTGTAAAGGTGTGTTTTGGACTGTCAGGTGAACCATAGAGGACACAAGACAGGTTTGTAGAGGTATATGTATACCTCTACCTAAATATATATTTAGGTAGAGGTATACATATATACCTCTACCTAAATACATACATGTGTGTGTATATATATATACTTATACACACACACACACACACACACGTATTTATGCACACATACATACATATATATATATTTATACACACATACACACACATCTTATATAATTAAACTAGGACATTATATCATTTTGCATATATACGGAAACAATCGTGCACCTTGTTTAAAATAGCCTTATGATTGGGATGTTAGGTTTAAATTTGCTTTTAATCCTTAAAACTCTTTCCTTTAATTTTTTTTTTTTTACAAACCCCCCCCCCCCCCAATCATTTGAACCGCTTGACATGATCCAGGCATGAACAGGCATGGCACAACGAAGGGGTGGATCGCACTGTACATTTGGATCAGCCTGGTGTCAGAGGAGAGAAATGAGTATTTCACAAACAAAAAGCAGGCCAAGTCTAGAGCTGGTTTCTAGCCATGGGGCCCGTCCACACGTGGGAAGTGAAAGCGCCGCGTTGCGCGCTTCCTCTCCTCCTCTCCCCTCCTAGCCAACCCTGGGCAGGGGGAACAGCAGCCAGCTGGAGGGACACGGGCGGGTGGGAGGGATCCCCTGGATCCCAGCTGGAGCGGATCCCCGGGATGCCGCGCGGGGCAGCAAGCTGCTTTTAAGGAGGTCTTCCCACTTGGCAAGCCCCAGGCTTTGT